CTGTGGTTTCGATAACTGCTAACTCAAGTGAGGATGAAGAGACAAAATGGAAAAAAAACTTATAATAAATGCTGTGATTTTTGAGAATGTGTCACTCTTTCACTGTCGAAATTGTTAAATGTAGCCGTCTCTTCTACTCCAATAGCTTCATATCTCGTACTTCTCACATGTGGAACTCCCTCCGCATTTCTTGTTTCCCTGATAGCTACAATCTCCAACTATTCAAATGTAATGTCAATCGACGTCTCCAGATGCCCTGATCTATCCCCTAACCTTACCTTCATCGTTTCCTCTATCACTCCTCTTTGCTCTCGCTCCAACTCTCTGTAACCCTTGCGTGCTAGTGGCTTCCCGCCTTGCTTGGGGTTGAATGCTTAAAAAAAAAAAAAAAGAAAAAATAAATGTCTAGAATCGGGGGCCATAAAACAGGGGCTATAATTCGCATGCGCAAGAATGAAAGTAGAAATAATAATTAAAAAATAAAGATACGAGAAAAAACTGTATAAACTTTACATATTCTTATAATTCTGTCACATTCCGATCCATATTTGATCTACATTTGACTCCAAACTCACAATTTTTACTCAGTATTACTCTCCCTTGTGTCTCTAACACCACATAACAGCCCTTCTGTATCTGTCTATATTTCTGAGATGAGTTATTATGTACACTATTTACATTACTCGGACTATTATCCTCATGTTTGTTGCCATATTTGTTACAACGTTTCGGCTCTTCAGTATCTGTCTATATTTTTGAGATGAGGGTATTATGTACACTATTTACATTATTCGGACTATTGTCCTCATCTTTGTTGCCATATTTATTACAACGTTTCAGCCTTTCAGAATCTGTCTATATTTCTGAGATGAGGTATTGTGTACACTATTTACATTATTCGGACTATTGTCCTCATCTTTGTCGCCATATTTATTACAACGTTTCGGCCCTTCAGTATCTGTCTATATTTCTGAGATGAGGTATTATGTACACTATTTACATTATTCGTCTTTATCCACAGTGCCATGTCTTCTTGAGGGACAGGACTCATTGTGTGAGTTCAATACCCGGGTAAGGCAGTAGAGATCTTGGGGAGGGAAATTAATAGGAGATAACTGATAACTGACACCCATTAGACATGGCACGTGGAACTGGAACAAGCTACCCCAGTTAGCGAAATAAAGGGATTCAGTTCGACTTTCCAACCCCCTGAAGAAGGCTGGAGCGTACAACGGCCGAAACGTTGTAATAAATATGGCGACAAAGATGAGGTCAATAGTCCGAATAATGTAAATAGTGAACAAACGGATTATAAATAAAATTCATTTTGTGATTTCCACTACTTGCTATTTCTCATTTTTACGAGTATTCTGGTATATATAAATGTTAGGTTTATTATTATTTACTGAGTGTTATAAGTCCGACGTAATCTACAATGGTTACGATAATAAAACAACTCTATTTAGTAATGTTCTATCTTGTGTAGCTCTTGGGCCTTTTGAATAATAACTAAAGAAACTCATTTTTATTTATTCTTCGAGAAACAAGAAATAATAAATACAAAAAGAAATAATGGAGAATTAACCGAACATTAGCGACAGAATAAAGAACAAAAAGAACGAAAACTTAAAGCAAAAAGCAAGAAATCCTAGTAATAAATTATTTTGTCTTTTTGAAATCATAGTTTGAAATCTGTCGGGATATTTCGAACGACACTTGACAACGAAAGCATTTCTTTTGAGCATGGAACCTTACAACAGAGATGTGTCAAATGCTTCGGACTTTCTTTTTGGGGGGTTTTGTTTGGCATCATATAATTTTTTTGTAAAAAAATGAAATTTTTTTGAGAGACACGATCTCTCCACTATATTCCTTTCTCTAATACGACCTAATAACTTTTCTTTTCTTTTTTTTTTAATTTGTTCCTTTCTTTAATTAATTTTTTATTTATTTATGTATTTATTTATTTATTTATCATAATCTCTTTCCTTACCTCCAGTAATTGCCGGAAGATACTACTCAAAATTTTAATTTAAGGCTGTAAATTTACTCGCGACCCTTACTTGGCTCCGGGCCATCTATTTCAGTCGAGTGCCCCCACCTTACTTTTTGTTATTGCTTTCACTGGGTCACCCTGGGGAAATGGGTCGATTTTGACGACGACCTAATGGGAGCAGCCATCTCAAGGCAAGTGAGACCTTCGCTTGACGAATTCTTTGAGAATGTTGGTGCCACAGACATCCTCTTTCGGATGTATTTCCTAAAATATACGCCCGCCAGACAAGTGAAAATGACATTTTTCGGGGCGAACTTCACGGTCTGTCAAAACGGCTCTGAAAGTGTATAAGGGTTCCAAAACAAAATGCATTCTATAAAAGTAGCCAATGGGTTAACGCAAGAGAAATCTTTTAAATTAAGTCTACAGATGATTATTATTATTATTAGAATACTACCCATAAAAACGAGGTGAATTTTGATATATGTATTGATCTCGGAACAA